ATCAAGGTTTGACCCGGACTCTTTCAATGAACACCACCACCACTAGTGGATTGAAACACACAGTATTTTGCATTTTCTAAATTTGCACTACATTTTGATGGAAACTGACTTTTGGCTGTAAGTATCTCTCTCAACTCTGAGTTTAAAATCTAAACTTGCTTTATTGTCAAAGAAAAGTTATATTATGAAAACTAACTAATTTCCTTGAGGTTGGAAATGCAACAATACAACAAGTCTTATCACTCAGATCTGTAGGTAAACATCTGCCACCACAATAAGACTGTGTGAGACAGTAATGTGGCATCAGGGCTATATTTAAATAATCAAATGAGGAATGCAACAACCGTCACTTTTGTCAATACATGATAACCAACCAAACATTTCCCTGTAACACTGCAATGATGTGCTCTCACGTTCACATTCACACACTAAAAATATATGGTACAAGCTTGACTATGGTTTTAGACTTGATCCAATATTTATAAAATAATTGTAGTGGCTTATATGATGTAAATTGTAATTAATAAATGTGAATATATTTCAGTTGTGTTTCAAAGGCATTTAAAAAAATATTCCAATTACAAAGGTTCTTCAAGTACGAGCATGTGACCTCACAAATGTTGTGGAGGAACTCAAAGGCTTTAAAAGAACCCATAATGTAATGAGCCAAGAAAACACCTCTATGGGACAACAAAACAAGGCCCTGGAACAGGAAGCCCAAGAGCTTAACAAAAAGCTGCCTGATGGACAAGGAGGAAATGAGGCATGATTGTGAGGTTTTGTAGAAAGAAAGGTGAAGTCCATGAAAAAACAACACAAGGCCATAGAAAGAAAACTTGAAGAGGTCAATAAAATAACTGTGTGATCAGGAAGTGCCCTGAGAAAAAAGACAACTCTTTTCAACAAGTCCAGGAAGGCAGGAATATTCTCCACAAGCTCTTTGAAACCAATGAGTCTTTGAAGCAGTAAATTAAGACTCTGATGAAGGAAAATGACGACCTCCAGAGGGAGAACCAGTCCCTTAGAGACATTCCCCGGGAGTGGGCCTTTGAACTCAAGGCTGTAGCTGACGAGTTGACTGAGGAGTACATGGTCTAATTCACTGTGAACTGGCAGAGGTGGATGACACGTTGATTTCCTTTCTGGTTTTCCTAACTGGTCCACTACCATCTTTGCGGCTTGCAGACCTGGCCTCTTCAGACCACGAAGCTCTGCTCTTCAGAATTCGGCCTCCTTTAGATTCCCACTGTGGACTGGGAAATCTCTGTCTTGTCTGTTTGTCAACTCATCCAATCAACTTCAAACTTGGCAGGTGTGTTGGACCATCTTAGCTTCTCTCTTCATATGAGATCTGACTTTAAGGTGCTTCTGATCACTTATAAGGTTCTACATGTGCATAGATCTGATCTTTTTCAACCCCCCGCTGAAATCAGACAGTCTGACAAACTTTAAACTCCTTTTCTTCCCCTTTACTTTGCTTATTCTTTGATTTCTTCAGGCTCATGTACCTGTTACCATGATCCTCCTGGCAGGTTTGTCTCAGTCTCATGAATCTTTTAAACTAAGTCCTTAAAGTCCATGCATGTCCTGTCAACAAGATGGAAACCACTGCATCTCTAATCCTCTTTAATTCTCTCTATTCTCTCTTTTCACTCAGGCTTCTCTCTCTGAACTGGACTCTGCTGACCACCCTCTCTCCCTTTCCTGACTGTCAGTGCCTCATTCCAGATGTTTTGGATTTGGATCTTCGTCCTCCAGGAGATTCAGCCTTGTCTCGTTTCCTTGTCTCTTTGTGTAGTCTGTCCTCTTTCCAGGTCTCCAGGTGGAGAGGGAGATGTGTGGCTCAGATGTTGGAAGCTGCTCAGCATCCTCCTGGATCATATCTATAATATTGTCATTCTGATTTTTATGTTTGTCTGTTCTGTCATGTTCTGCCATGGAAGAAGCATCCTTCTACTGTTGGTCTTCATGGAGTTTCTTTTATCTTTTTCCCCATTTAAGGGTTTTTTTGGAGAGTTTTTCTTCATTTAAACTGGAGGTCTCAAAGGAGAGGTTGAAGCTGCTTCAGGAAAATTTGTGATTCCTGATTTTGGGCTACATAGAGAAATAAAATTGACCCTGATGTTTCAAATTTTCACCTCCTGTGGGTGAATGAGAAAATGGGTGTGATCATGCGTTGCCTGATGCATTTTCATACCAAGCTAACACTGGTATGTGGAGTATCAGAACAAAGCACAAACACTGCCAGTGTCAGAACTTCTGAGGAGTTTCCATTTGCATACACATAGAGCACAGGAATAACATGCAAACACTGCAATGATGAGCTCTCACGTTCACATTCACAACCTAAAAATGTATGCACCCATGGAACACTGCATGTATTTTTAGTTAGCTGCTTGAGCTCCAAGCATCCCTCACATGTCCTACGTTATTTTCTGTCTCAACCAACTCAAAATGGAACTGTGTATAGAATTATCTTAAGGCAAAACTTAGATTATGTTTCGTCAGAGTCATCAGGGCTCAATTTATGAGGGGCACTGGGGGGTCCCCGGTGTATTATATATTATTATTATTATTATTATTATTATTATTA